ACACTGCAGCACTTCGGTCAAACTGGTGAGACAAAGAAAGGAGGTGGTTTCTACAGACTTGTGTCTGTTTTGGATCACGTTGGCTTTCTCTGCTAGTAACAGACGCTGTTCTCAGATCGTTTACTTGAGTAAATTAGGAGTGCCACAGTGTAAAATCCTCTACAAGTCCTGTATTCAAACAGTTATTTAAGTAAAAGCTCAAATGTATTTAAGCGCTTTTAATATGTAGAGACTCTGACTCGGTTCTTGTCAGAGATTTATTTAAAAATAATATTAAGGCAAAGGTGCTCTCTGTGCAGTGGGGAGTGAAACGTGTCCTATGTTTTGATGCTGGAAAGCACCAGCTGAGTTATCATTTCTGTAGACAAAGTTGTGGCACATGGCCTCCCTTAGTGATTTACCGAGCTACATATAAAAACATGCCATTCTGTTGGACCACCCCTCCAAATTGCTATTTTTTATAATGCTGTCAATTTCAACATCTTACTTCATAATTTAGCAGCCAAGTCAATCTGAAAAAATCAACTGGACTAGATTTCTAGGTTGAAGACGTTTCACCTCTCATCCAAGAGGCTTCATCAGTTCTGACTGACTGGTGTTGAACCAGAGATATTTATCCCCCTCGGTGGTGTTTCAGTCCTTTGAAGGCCAACAATGTCCCCTAACAACTGAGTCGTTACAGCCCAGTATCGGTGAGAGTCGTTACCTGTCTTTGAGCCCTCACCTGTGGACCGACGCCTATTGTCCTGGTGGGCATGTTTGGGCAGAGCTCTCAAAACAGGATTGTAGACAGATTACAAGTTGTGTCTTAGTCCACCACCCCTATGTAAGATTTGAGTCTTATAGACTCTATAGTTACTTTACAAGCTTTAGTTACTTCTCATACCTTTAGTTCCCTTTAGTTACCTTTCATAGCTTTATTTTCCTTGTTTATGCATATTACAGCTGTATTGATGATTGTTCAGAGCTACTGAGCTTTGGTTATTTTAATACATTTGTTTCCCTTGCTTATATATCTTACAGCTGTAATGAAGCAGAATCTGCTTGCTTTGAATGCTGTAAGTTCTGTGTAGAGACTAGATGTCTGCATCTCTTTGAAACCAGACAGCCTATTTACATTTTAGCAAAGGCCTGTTTTACACTCACACCTCGACCCACTTAGCATATCCAAAGCTTTGCTTTGTCTGGGATGTCCTTCAGAGGCCCTGGGGCTACAACCTGAGATGACCACCTGGCCAATTTAACACACTTATTAGCATCACACACACAGGGGGCCTGTAACTTAGGCCACCCTTTGATCAGTGCACCTCGAGATCAAGATCTGGGTGCTGGACACATGCACACACACACACACACACACACACAGCTAGATTTACCATATTTCAACATGGGAGTGGAGCTCTGGCTCACACCAAATGACCAATAGGATCACAAACTATTGAAGGTTGCACCCCTGTGTCCAGGGCGGAGCAGCCCAAGAAGATAAAATGTATGGTAAGAACTTAATTCGGGGTCAGTGGATGGAACTCCTGCGGGAGCTCTATCTCTCTGATCCCAGCATTGTAAGACTTTCCTGTGATCAGACTTTCAGTAAACTTTCTGTTGATTTTAAACAGTCATCTCCTGTCTTCACTTCTCGTGCTTCTAACAAAAGAATGGGGTTAATTTCTAACATGTTAAAGGTTCAAATATAAATAAACAACAAAAGGCAGTTTGTACTTTTTAGACAAACTAAACAGGGATGTTAGTAGGCTTCCCAGAATGTATGTTGCAGGCATCACATTCTAAATGGGTTTATATTTACAAAATGCAGTTACATTGGTCAGTGAAAACATTGAAATGTCGTGGTTTAGACTTGGCCTCCTGTTTTTGTCCCTGCTCTCCCTGCCGTTCTATCACTTTAATCAGCCATCGTGCCACTCATTACGTCTCGGTCCTGCTTACATATATGTATACACCCTGTTTTTCGCTCATACCCCGTGGGTTCATTGACGATTATTTGTCCCGATATGCAACCCCTGAGCTTCACCCCGGTACTGTCATGTTTCACTGACACGGTCTGAGTTTGTTCCATGTTTGATTCTACATTTCCCGGTTTGTTTTCTACCTTTTGCTCTGTGTGTTTACTTGTTTTGAGTTCTCGCTACCGCTTCCGTGCGCTGTGCCCTTCTCCTTCGTCCCACACTGTGTATATTGCCTAACTGCCAGCTACACGGTGCATTTCCTCCACTCTGTCTCACCTGCCCGCCCCGGTCTTCTGGTTCCCCTGGTTCCTCACCCTGGTCCTCCTGGATAGTGCCCGACCTGGCCTCCGTTACCTGCTGCACCTCCTGTCAGACCGTGCCTGCCCGACCCCTTGACACCCAGCATAATGTATTATTTTTAATTAATAAACTTCTATATTTACTCCTGCCCTGTTTTCTATGTATTATTTTTAATTAAAAAAATTCTATATTTACTCCTGCCCTGTTTTCTGAGTTTGCATCTGGGGTCCAAACTTGACACAACATGAAAACCTTTCCAATTAAAGGTTCAAGTGAATAAATAAAATATAGATTTCAGATTTTATTGCATTTTGAAAAATGCCCCAACCTTTCTGGACGTCTATAAAATAATTTCAACAAATACGTGTTGTATCCAGTCATGCAGTTGGCAGAGACAGTAAGAGAGTGATTTAACACTGCAAACACAATTGCAGGAAGCAGGCACAAGTAAAGGGTGTTGCTAAAGGATCTAGTTTAGCAGTTTCCCAGAAATGCATTGATCTCAGAAATAGAAATCCTCCAATCATCCTCACAGTGTGAACAGTGACAGGTAAGTTTTGACATACCTACTGTAATTAGTAAGTACTGTAAGTTTTATGCTTCTCTGAATTTGTTATTGTAGTGGTAAAAGCAAACTGAATATAGTTAATAGTTATTAGCATAGTTGATAGGCCAAAGTTAGTTTATAAACACTAACACCACGGACAGAGTGTCATTCCTGATCAAACGCCAGTGAATAAAAATAGGTCTTCAAATAAGACTTAAAAGTGGGCAGTGAGGGGGCCTGCCTAATATAAAGCGGCAAGGCATTCCATAGGTTTGGACCTATCACAGCAAAGGCTCTGTCCCCCCCAGTTTTACGCCTAGCCCTTGGTGCCTCCAGAAGAAGCTGATCTGCTGATCTGAGGCACCGCGATGGATTATACGGATGCAAAAGTTCCACCAGATAAGAAGGTGCCAGCCCATTTAAAGATTTATAAACAAATAAAAGAATCTTAAAACGAACCCTAAAATGCACCGGAAGCCAGTGGAGAGATGCCAGTACGGGCGTTATGTGATCCTTCTTACGCCCCCCAACCAATAGCCGAGCGGCAGCGTTCTGGACCCTCTGGAGGCGGGCAAGCCCCGATTGACCAACTCCAGCGTACAGTGCATTACAGTAATCCATGCGTGATGTAACAAACGCATGGATCACTGTCTCCAAATGCTGCCTCGACAAAAAGGGCTTTAATTTCACAAGCTGCCTTAAATAAAAAAAACCAGATTTTACAACAGCATTTATCTGGCTCTCCATTCGCAGATCCGAGTCTATTCTAAAACCTAAATCATTGACAACGGATCGCACATACTGCCCCAAAAAGCCTAGGTCTACCGGAGGAGGGTCGCCAGACATATTCCGGCCAAATACTATAACCTCCGTTTTTGCATCATTTAGCTTCAGGCAATTTAACGACATCCAGGCCTTAATATCTGCAAGACATGCTAAAAGCGGTTGGATCGAGTAAGTGTCCTTTTTAGTCAGTGGCATGATAATCTGGACATCATCAGCATAACAGTGAAAAGAGACCCCATGTTTCCTAAAGATAGAGCCAAGGGGAAGTAAATACAGAGAAAACAGCAAAGGCCCCAAAATGGAGCCCTGTGGAACCCCAGATAACAAAGGGGTTGTGACAGATTCCACATCTGCCAGCCCAACAGACACTGATCTAGCCGATAAATATGAATTAAACCATGCTAGGGCAACACCACGGATGCCCACTAAGTCGCGAAGGCGAGATATCAAAATGTCATGGTCCACCCTGCCTAATTATTCCTTTCCTGTATTTCAGGATATATACATCTGCCTACAGGTGTTATATTTTGATACCTGTAACAACAACACACCCCAGTCACGTTAATAAATCACTCGACTTCTTTAAAAGAAAGCTGGCAGAATACCGTTAGCAGAAAAATCACATGGTAAAATCCACATCAGTGAACAGCAAAGCACAAATGGCTTCCTTCAAAGTTGCATACAGACTTGCCCAGTGCAAAAAAAACACACAATTGCTGAGCAGCTCATTCTCACTGCTGCTGTAGACATGGTGTTGATTATGCTGGATGAGACAAGTGCTGCAAAATTGAAAATTATCCCCCAGTCCGGGGAAACGTCCATTCCCTTCCCAAAATGAACGAGCTAACCACACTAACGGGACTGCAATGGGGGTGCAGGAAGAGCACCCTTCTGTGTTGCTCCAACACTCCTGATTCTGTGGTCTGTGGTAACGGGTTACACTAATTCCCTCAGCCAAACACTACTGCAGCGTGCGAGCATGTGCAAAGCACGATGTCTAGGCTGCAGACACACAGGCACTAATCCTCATCCGCAAAAAATGTTTGAGAACCACTGTACTATAGAGTATTAAACTGTTTCCCCTGTTGGAACAGTGTTTCCACCATTTTGACTACAGCAAAACAGTATGACGGTTTTATTTTTGCTTTTTACAAGACTAAATAACACTGAAAGCTTAATGACAAGCTATTTGCCCCATTCAAAAAAAAAAACTCTGGACCTACTGTATACTAATGCCAGAAATGCATACACTTCAGTCTGCTCTCACATCATGCACTGAACTAAAAGTTAATTTACAGTAGAGAGTGATGGTCATGATAACTCAAAAGGTTTCAAGCACTGCCTCCTTTTGCAGCATTTTTCACATTTTCTTCCTGATTTCTATGAAATGCTTCTCAGAGGTCCCTACCACTGCAAACTTCTGTACAGATCTATAACATTTTTCTTTGTTGGGTTTTGTTGTTTGCTCTCTGTTGCTGCTGGAACACTGAAATTTCTCCACTGTGGGATCAATAAAGTCTTACCTACCTACAGTACCTACCTTTGACCAATCTACTTCAAGGATGACAAATTTCTTGTGAAAAAGATAAAGGTAAGTGTTCCTTATCTTTATTAACCTTATTATACATCTAGAGTCCAAACCAGCAAAGCAAAGGCCAATTCATAATCTTCTGAACAGCACAAAATAAGTAAAACACAAGCTAAACATGTTTTTTCTGTTTTGCTAGCAAAGAGTTGAGTTTTTTCTTTGCCAGCTTTTGCCAGTACACAAACTTTGAAGTACAACAGCCACTGTAGTAAGTGGCAAAGTATACACTCAACATTAACACTATAAGAGCTTTGGCACCAAGCCATAGATTATCAGCAGTAAATTAGTATTAAATCTTTTTAGCAATTTATGAACTCAATAACACAACATAAGATAAAAGTAGGCACAAGTGGAGGATGTTTTTAAAGGAGATAGTTTGTTGACTATTCTGTCTCAGCCATACAACTTTAACCTGTGCATTACCAGTTCATTCTTATGTAAGTGGTGTTTTTAACAGACACCCACAAACCAAGATTCCATCTCAGAGGCAGAAATCCTGAAGACAGTCAGTCATCCTCATATTGTGAGCTGGAAAAACTCCTTTAAAGGTAAGTTTAGACAAATCCACTTCAAGTTTAAATTTGTTTATTAAAGGTAATGTCTACACACAATATGCACACAGTTATAATATGAGTCTCAACATCAATTTTCATACCACGCTATACCGTGAAACCACAATATCACTGGAACTCTACCCACAATTATTTCTGTCTGGACCCACATGACTCGTTAATATAAGTCCAGTGACTTCACACAGCCTCACCCAGACAAGTAGTGGTAATTACAGACCAGAGTCACTCACTTTAAAACACATCCAGATTGTTTTTACACAAGGCTAATGTAACATGCTGTTGCTTTCAGATGTGAAAAACATTTACTCAGTCTTTCAAAAGCCAAGTGGGTCATAATATGCCTCCTTTTCCCCGCTGTTAGGTGTTTTATACCCGTTACCAGTGGGTGCTTGTAAATAATGTTGCAAACAGTGCTGTGTTTCTGAATGCAGCTCCATGCACCTGCTAGAGGGCAAACTACAGTGGGTGTGAATGCAGATATGCTGGGGCCTGTACTGCCATTTAGCTTATTCCATGCTGTGTACATATGCTGTACTGTATGTACACCATCCTGTACAATGACTAAACTGCCAGTGTCTCTGTTTACACCAGTGGAACTGGAAAAATGTCAAAAAGTACAGCTTTTCTTTTTTAAATCAACTATTTCTTTGATTGTATGTGCCTTCCACTAACAACTAAGTAAAGTTGTGTGTGCAGTGCCAAATAAAGCAACGTTCACACCATTCACACTAGATGACGATTTTTCCTTTACACTAACAAAGGATCATGGGACACCAAAGAGGTGGGGGTGTCATTTAATAAAGATATATAATTAATTCATTAGAATAAAAAAAAAAAACTTTATTTACTCAAATTTTTTTCAATTTCACTAATGAAATCAGGCACAGACTCACAGTCAGCTCCAGTTGGTTGCTGATGTAACACAAAGTTACACAGAAAACGGATTAATCATCTGTTCACATAACTACTGTAACACATAAGCAGTATGTGTTACAGGTGTCATGTGATGCATGTCACATCTTGTCATGTGATCCCCTCAGTGTGTTGCCCTTTAACAAAATTAATTACAGTAAACAATTCATTTAAAATTACAATTTCTAATTTTATATGCTAACAGCAATTCAAGAATGAGCTCAGACAAAAATACAAAACTACTACTTTGTGTTTACTTCAGAGAGGTATTGTACACAGTTACGTTCTGAAGATGTGTTTTAAAATACGAGATAAAGAGATTCACCCTTTTTTGCCATAAAGGTGAAAATGAGGACATCTACTACGCAGTGACTGATTATTGTCATGGAGGAAACCTCGCTGACAAGATCAAAGATAGACCACAAGAGTTTCAGGTACAGTGTTCTTGTGCAGAGGTAGTTTCCAAACTACATGACTGAAACATTCTGCAGCAGCTGTGCACATATTTTTCAGTTATACAACGGTCACTATAGAAATTCTGGATTCTGAAGGTGTGGATTAACTTGTGGAGAGACATGCAAAAAATTTTTTCAATATCTATCATATTTAAGTGAATCCTATGTCCATATCAACTAAAGCTTGGAAGTGGAAATTGGATTTAAATATAGCAAAGCTACAACTGTTGCCCACAGTGATGCTGGTAGCCTGAGAACAGCTATAGGGGAAATGAGAGAAAATAAAGAGATGTGGTTAAAGTCAAAAGAGGGTGTGAGAAAGAGACAGCAAAGACAACATGTCTGTGCATTTCTACAAAGGGGGGAGAAGGAGGCAGCCTGTCAGTTTTAATAACATTGTGTAACAGAATGCATCCCTGTTCTCTGTGACAGCATTCAGTGAAACATTTCTATCCTGTTATAAAACTTGTAAGGATTTTTAAACGCAAACATGTTGCTGTTTATCAACTGTAGATGTCGTAAAGTAATACAAACAACAACATTTCTGATACTTAACTACATTTTATGATGTTTAAAATAGGAATTAAAGCTCAAATATAATTACATACGTATGTAAAATAATATTTGACTACTTTAGTTTGTTTCCAAGTGACCATAGTATCAGTACTGTAGTATACTACCCTCCAAGTCTATATGTTCCATGACTCTGCAGCGGCAAATCACCCTCCACCTTAAGTTGGATGGTCTTTGGCCTTGTGTCATCCTTTACAATCACAGAACATACAACTTGTCAGGTATTGTCCCTTTTTAATTTG